CAGTCTGATGTTGCCCATCACTTGCACTGGGGCCTTGTGGTCTGGACAGTGGAATTCAGTGTGTCAGGTGTTGCTCCTCCCTGTGCGTCTTTTGAGCCTGAGGCTGAAGCTTGCTCCAAAGGCCAGACCCTCACTCCATCAGAGAGGGAAGTGGCAGAGGCAGGTCAGACAGCTGTGAGCCGGACAGAAATTGGGTGAGATGGTTTTGCTGTTTGCACTTGTGTCAGTGGAGCTCGGAGTGACTGTGGCAGGTGTCTGCATCCAGCTGCAGCACAGACGGGCAGCTAAAAGCCTGGCCCGAAGCTGTAGGGAGGATCTGGTTCTGCGGCCGCGCGCGAGCTGTTTGCTATCTGCCAATGGCGTGTGTGCAGAGCAGGCTCTAGCAACGTGATCACAGTCTTTGCCTTCCTGGTTCTGTCTCTCAGTTGGTTGCCAGGGTTTGCAGATCACAGCAAATTTTTCTTGGGGAACATCCCTGTTTTGTCCTGGAGTGGACATGTGGGTGTATGGCCAGTTGCTGGTCGGTGCTCTGCCTTCCTTTACTGGTATTTCTCTTCCTCGGAGCAGAAGAGCTGCATTTTGCTTATCAGAAGGTGTATCGCTGAGGGAGGTTTCTTAAGGTGGCATGTAATTGGCAGGCCAGGTATCCTGGTTCCAGGTTCTAGCCAGGCTTTTGGTTGCCCCTCCCATCTCCACCTCTCACCCCTCTGGATTTTGCATACAGCCTAGTACAGTGCAAAGAAGGATGTGACTTGCTCAGCTTAGTCACATGATTTCTAAACAAAAACAAAAAATAAACAAAAAAACACAAAACGATGATCTTCTACTCAGGGTAAAACAAACAAAAAAATTCCCCTTCCACCAAAAAGCCTGAAATGTTGCAATAAGTTATCTCATTTGGAATGTTTCATTAAGTTGTGTTATAGGAAAGAATTGTTTTTTGATTTGTGTATAGAATTACAACCATCTATCTGCCTTTGGCTCCAAGTCATGCCTCTAAACATAAAACATAAAATACAGCCCACACTAAAATGGAAAGTTTCTCTCAACTGGCTATCTCAATGTAGTCATAAGCACTCACCAAGCTCACTGAGCTCAGAAGCTGGGCATGGCCCCGCGTCTATAGGCTAGGCCTCTTCCCCGCCTCGAGCAAACAGGGCTGCTCTTCTGGGTCAATGATGTCGGGCAGAAAGTAGCCATAATCTTGCCTTCCTTTTCCCACTCCCTAATGTAAAAAGAGCTGCATTTGCCACTCTCCTGTCTCTGAGCCGTGCTCACAGCCGGCCAAGACAGTATCCAGAGCAGATCATTAGGGGAGCCAGAAGCCCAGCCTTTAACAGGATGTTCAGGGACAGACTTGGACAAGAGGGCAGTGGTGGTGCACGTTGTCACTGCAATGAGAGGTGGGCTTAGCCACAAGCAGCTGCTGGCTTCTCATTCCAGGAGTCTAGGCAGGAGAATGGGTTTCCTTTTAACCTTCTGCACTCTCCTCCCCAAGAGGCTGGTGGGTTCTGGGACCACTGACCTCAGCAGAAGTTGATAAGTCAGGAGGAATCTTCTAGTACCACAGTGAATGGGTCCTGGAAAACCAGCTGCTGAGCATGGCTTGTCCTTGGCTCTGTGGACCAGGCACCATAGGAAGCTTTGAGGTGGGACACTTGTGTTTTCTCTACCTCTTCTGCGAGAGACCAGCACAATACGATCCCAAAGGTAGTTGGCATCGGAGGGCAGGAATGACCTCTTCCCACATCCCTGGAGTCACCTGGGACTCAGTTCCCTGGGAGCAGGTGGGAAACCGGAGCCCAGGAAAAGCCTCTAGAGGTGTCCGTGGTTTAAATGTTGCTTCTTTCTGGTAGCCAGGCCTGTGCTAACTTGTTGAGCCTCCCCAGGTCAATGGTTTTTCTGCTCTCCAAAGATTGGGGGTGATGAAGAAGCATCTTAAAATAGTGTTTAGGTCGACAGATTTTTCCAGTTGCAGTATCTGCCTTTTGAGGATGATTCGAGATTATGAGGGCAACTATCAAACCCAATCAGCTTTTGGAAAATCGTGAGCGTGCTTAAAATGTCAGTGAGTGGCTGCAAAGAAGAGCAGGTTTATTCCACAGGACAGGCAGTCTTTCCTTCCTCCTCCAGCGCTCTCCCTCCCCACCTCCTTTGTAAACCTGGCCTGTAGTGCCAACGACCTTGGAGAAGAGTGGGCCGCTGGCTAAAGTGGATCCAGACAGAGCCTTCATGGAGAGTGTGGGTTCCCAAACCTGGAGTGAACCGAGGGAAAGGTTAGAGAAGGTCTGCAGACTTCTACCAGGTGAAACCAGGCCTTTTTCTTCCCATCGTAACCTTAACCATTTCCACCCTGTAGATTTATCCTTCCAGTTCCTGCTAGCATCTCTAGTCATACTGCTCGGATACAGGGTGCTAGTCAGCATCAGGAATTGGAGTACATGGGCTCAGGAGGTGGGAGGAAACTTGGGCTGGCACCACCAGACTGCCTTAGTGAATTTGGCCCTTCCCAGGCATTGAGGGAAAGTGGCCCTGCCTTTCCTGTCGGGTCTGGTCAGCCTCATGGGGACATCACCAGTTTGGTGGCAGGAGTTAGTGTCATTTATTGAATCCCCTGCCCCCTATCCTTTTAGAAGGAGATCTTGGTACAAAGCCTGGGAGGGGCCTTCATGTGTGAAGACCTCTCTGGGTAGAAGCAAGGGACTTGTGTTTACCACCTCTGGGGGAGTCAGTAGCTTGGAGAGTGTCAAGGCAGTGGACTGATGGGGCTAATGGAGGGTGGGTGGGTGTCCTGAGAGACTTTGTATAATGCTGAATGTGTCCAGAGGGACGAGTTTGCAGAACCTCATATTGGTATATTAAAGAAATAATAAAATAAAAAGCACTTTAGGTTATTTTATCTTTAACCCAATTGCTGCAATTTCTTTTGTGTGTGTGTGTGTGTGTGTGTGTGCTTTCCACAAAGTTTTATTTTTTGCTTAGAATAAAAAGTTAAATTGAGGTGTGAAAAGAAAAGCACTTACCTTGGTGCAATATGTGTAGCTTGATGGTCGTTGTCCCATGTGGCCCTGGCCTGGCCGCATTTTCTGCTCCATCAACTCTGTACCAGGAGGCTGTCTGTAGGGAAACACTATTATGCATTCTCAGCAACTGCTCAATCTATGCAAGCCTTCCCTGTGTGCCTGAGGGCGCCCCCTCAGGCTCTCTAAAGAACTGCTGCGGGTCCTGTTTTCTGCTGACTGTTGAGGCCCTTTTGCATCACTGCTTGCACCCTTGCCATCTTTCCCCCCTTCACCATTACAAAGTGATGTCTGAAAGGAAGGAACGGGATGTTCCTAGGTAGAAACCTGGCACCTTCTAGACTTTTATATTTGTAATCACGTCCATTGTCCTTAATCTTAAAAGACTTCTCCGGAATCACCGAAACCATTCATTTGTGGAACTTGCAACAGTATTGCTAGACTTTTCAGTTTTCCTAATCACCAATCAGAAATATGTTTGGGGAGGTGTTAGAGGTGGGGAGGCAACATGAGCCATTTCCTTACCGCTCCCATGCTACCCCTATTGGCTCTTTAAGCAAAAAGGCCTCCAGCCTTCATTAAATCCAATAAACAAAGCTGTTATAATTTGCTTTATCAACTTTTTCCCTTCCCCCTCACTCCTCTCTTGTTTCCCCTACCACCCCATTTTATCTTCATTCTCAGGCTACTATACAATGGAAAAGTTTGAAAATACTTCAGCCAAAGCAGAAAGATTTTCATAGATCCCATATGCAGATGATATTGCTGTGACATAGATCAGAATTGTTCATTCCTTAATACTGGGAGGGAGGAGGCAAGAAAACGGAATTATGCATATTTCTGATTGGTAACCAGTTAGGCTGTTTCCTCTGGGACAGACTTGGGGAAGAGAGAAAGGGTCCTGTGTTTCTTCTCATGCCCTTTGGGGAAGCTGATGACCACTGTTTGGGCATTTCTCACTGTTAAGCCTGTTCGAGGGCTTCTCAGTCTGCACTGAAAATGCAAATTAAACTGGATCTTTATGTTAATGTGTACATAGTACAGCCTTTTTTACTGGATGCAAAGTTTAAAACCACACACTGCCCTTTTGGTGGTGTGTCTGCTGGGCCAAAAATTGGGTGATAATGTAGTGTCACTTTCTCAGCTCAATGCAGTTTCTACTCTTTTTCTTATGGGAAAGTTTTTCATAAAACCTTTTTTTCACCAAAACCCAGGGTTGTTTTTTGCAATATCCTTGTTATCCTCACAGTGGTGCCAAGTCAGGCCTCTCTTGCCCTCTCCCCTGTGTCCTCAAGCCTCCCCTAGGGCGATGTTTGACTCTAGTCCTTTGTTGTTTTTGGTGAATGTGGGGGCGGGGGTCAGAGTTCAAGGTGGTTGTTTCCTTTCCCTGTGAACTCCTAGTCCCAGTTTGGGGGAGGTGGCTGGAAACTTGGTTTTGCTGAATCTCTGGGTCAGATCTTCTGGCCGGAAAGGCAAGACCCATGGGAGCCTTTTTTTTGGACATACACTAGTCATTGGCTGAAGGTCTTGGTGACAGTTCTCTAAAGCCCAGTAGTTTTATTTGGATTATGTAAAGCCTATCAAATTCATTTAAGTGTGAAACATGGGAACAACAGACTTTCACTGAGCGATATGAAAACGTTACAGGTTCAGTACTTCCAAAGGAAGAAACCTCCAAACCCAAAAAAGAGTAAATATGAATTTGTATTTTTGAAGAATGTGAAATAATGGTGTTTGCTTAATTGCTCATTTTGTATAAACTTAATATTGTACTTTAAAATATCTGCTAAGAAGTGAAAATTTAACTTTTTGGAATTGAAAAAGCAATATTAAATACTAATGAGATCCTAATTAAATGCTTATTTAAATCTGGTAGTTATCTGTGGTATTTCTTCCCAACCCTGCCAGCTTTCAACCACTTCCTCCCTCCCCAGCATCAGAGTCTTAGAGATGGGACAGAAAGGAAAGGCCAGGCACCAGGAGAGTCTGCAGGCTTCCTTTTAATCAAGGCTCTGCTGAAAGTGTTGTGTGGGACTTGGAGCCCCCAAAGCATGAAATGGACATTAACACCACCTGGATCCCCGGAAGCAGGCCAGACCACTCTGGCGAGCACCGCTGGCCCGCCCAGCTCCGGTCATCAGGCCGGGTGTTCCTCGGCTACATTTCAGGGCTCAGCACCGCATCAGCCAGGAAGGAGTGAACCCAGCTGCTAGCAGAGCTGCCACCCCAGGCTGAGGGCCAAGTTCCAGCCGCTGCCAGTGAAGACTGGTCCGTTACTGAAGGCAGTTGTTCAGAGTCCAGCCACCAGCCAGCCCCCCGGAGGGAGAGAGCTCAGGGCCACGGGCTCGGGAACGGTCAGGGTTCCGCAGCTCCATCGCCAGCATCCTTTGGGAAACCGCCTCTGGCGCAGACAGCTGGCTGGGGGGGCGCCCCGGGTTTGGATGAGACATTCTGGTAGGAACAGGAAGGAAAAAAGTGAGGCTGGGAGGCAAGGCCTCGGATTAGGCCGCAAGGATCTGGCTCCTTGGCATCTGGACAGCACTGAACTTTTTCAGAGCCTCTCACCCAGATGAAAAGTGGGAGGTACAGCAGCGGGGACACGTTCACTCTCAGGGGCAGCTGGGGCTCAGCTAATCTAGCCAGTGGACAGTCCCCACCTCCCAGGCCCGGCCGGGAGGCACTGACCCCGCCACCCGCCGGCTCCGGGCGCCGGCGGCCCAGCTGCCGCAGCATCTCCTCGCAGGCGGCGATGGTGTCCAGGAGCTGCCGCTGCCGCTGCTCCACCGCGTCCAGCAGCTGCTGGGCGCGCTCATCCCGGGACGGCTGCGGGGGCGGCCTCCCGCCGAGCCCCAGCCCCGCCTTCCCACGGTCCACGCCGGCAGCCTCCCTGCCCGAGAGAGCGAGACAGGCCGTCAGGGCCGGCGCTGGCGCGGGGTCCGAGCCCATTCCCCCCGCCCCGACGGGCCCCCTCTCACCCCCGTGACCAGTCTGAGCCGGGGCCCCATTCCATCTCCGCCTGCGCGGCCCGACCACCGCCCCCCTTTCGGCCGCCCCCTCCCCAGCAGCTGCGCTCAGGTTCCGCAAAGCTGCGCCCCGCCCCGTCCCCACCGG